TATTATGAAAATTGAATGTACCATCCCTGGTAAAACTAGCTTGCTAGAGTTTGCTCTGTTTATAAAATTCATTATATCTCATAAACGAAGGCAGATAGGACTTATATTTATGTGACTTTTTTCCATTATTTTTAGGCGTACAATCAGCTCCTGAAGTGGGTCCCACAAGTTACGAAACACCCTGTATATATCTACGGGAACGTTTCCACAAGTTTTTTTACTTTGAATTAACCCTTCTGCGGATCGTGTTCTTCTTGCACTGCAAATTAACGCTTCTAAAGATCACACTCACTCGTTTGCAAATTAAATTTATCTCGCGAGTGACTTAATAGCGAAATAATAGATTTTATTATTTCTATCTCTGTATTCTCCAAATGACGAACCTCATTGAAGATGTTAAATATTATTTCTGTGCAATTATTAAACATTAAATTCTATGCAAGAAATGTTTTAACTGATCCTTCAAACCATGAACATTTAATGGATTTTGGTTCTATGGTAGAACATTTAATTTAGCTTCGGAGAAAGGAATGATTCATACTGTCGTGTCGTCCACACGAAAACGCGTGGAAAATGCAAATTCGAAGAAACGCTGAAAATAGGATTTTAGTGAATGGCCACGCTATTTCTTGTTGAGACTACAAAATGAGAATAATTTGCCCTTGGCCGCTCGAAGCACCTCGCTCTTTTTTCTCTTCTTCCAGTAATTTTTCAAGCAACTGGTCTTCAAGAATTCAAAACGGCACGCCTCGCTGCATTAATGTAAGAAACGAGTATTTTCTTTATCATTTTTCAACAAATTTCAACTTCTTGTTCCACACACGGAGCACTAATTTGTTAGTATTGGACCGTGTTTCTTTTTTCTTCGTTGCATAAAAAATTGCAAACCAAAGATACGTCTTTTTTTTGGAAATGGGTCATTTAAAAAGAAAAAAAAAAAACAGCCTCGAGTCCTAATTTTCGCTTCATTTGTCATTCGTGCTGTTAATTAAATTATTAAACGAAAGGTGTGATAAATACCTGCGAAAGTGATAATCCGCAGCATCACAAGTTATCGTCACTCGTCGGATCCGAGCTGAAACACACAAACACGCGTTTCTTTAACAACGGAATTAACAAGCTCGCATGCTTGAAAAAAGAGAAACAAAAGAAGAAGTGTTGGGAAATTTTTCAACGTTCGATTTTCAAACAAAACG